TGGCTGTCCAGTCTCTTCTTAAAAACTTCCAGTGTTGGAGCATTCACCGCTTCTGGAGGCAGGTTGTTCCACTGGTTAATTGTTCTCACTGTCAGGAAGTTTCTCCTTAGTTCTAGATTGCTTCTCTCCTTGATTAGTTTCCACCCGTTGCTTCTTGTCCTGCCTCCAGGCGCTTTGGAAAATAGCTTGATTCTCTCTTGAAAGAAATTGCAAAAACCATCTGACATAAATCACTGGCTCTAAATTCCTGCTTCATCTTGCCCAGTCTCCTATAATTCATAGAATTCTATGCTGAAAAATCCTACAATTTGTTAATAGAGGTCACAGGTTTATTTTCTGGTATATCAACTTAAAAGATTTTATTCAGAAGGAACATTTTGGGTAGAAGTGATGGAAAGCTAGTCCCTGTGGGAGCAAACCTACTTGAATTCAGGAAGGGAATGGAAGTTGTAAATCTCTTGTAGGTGGTTTTATATTAAAGGACAATGATTAAACTGAATTTTAATCCTGATGTAGCATAGAATTGTTAGAATTCATAGGAATTTGAGGAGCTCACAATCCTAGGGTAGCATTATAGCTTGTTTGTACAAAGCAACAAAATAACGTGATCTACTAGATTTTTAGGATGGGACAGTATGAGAATATCTTTTACTAATTCCCAGCACTTTTCTTACAACTACAGCAGAACATAGTGTCTTCTTTGTTACAGATAATTATGTACCTGCAATATATTTCATGTACTTTTTATCAAATCACCATGAGACCTGGAGAGAAATAAGAGCCTTGGTGGCTCCTTTCTTACCTCCATGACCTTTTTTAGGCAGAGAACCTTAGGTCAAAATAATTAAGGCATCCTACGACCTAAAAGAAGAACAAAACCTCTTTTCCCAGGAAGATGGGAGGAAGAAAGATAGGATTTAAACCCGAGGGCAGGGGTAGGCAACCTCGGCTCTTTTATGACTCATGGACTTCAACTCCCAGAATTCCTGAGTCAACATAGCTGACTCAGGAATTCTGGGAGTTGAAGTCCATGAGTCATAAAAGAGCTGAGGTTGCCTACCCCTGCCCTAGGGCACAGACACATTATATATCCCTTGACTGCAGCATGAAACATTTATAATATTTGTATTATATAATAGTCTGCAATAAAGTAACTAATTTTGCTGAGTCATGTTGAGAAACCAGTTCCTGAATAAGTGGTCAGGGTGTAGAGCAGAAAGATCTGACTGTTACTATGATCATTACAGGAGGAGAGCCTGCTCTAGGAGGCTAATGATATACTATAGCTATAGCATCTCTTGCAACCCATGACCTCTCTCCAAATTCTCAAGTTGCCAATAACCAAACCAATATTGACCCAAATGGATTAGCCAAGCAACAACACACAAACTAGCACAATTGACAATTCTAGGACCAACCCTGACCTAATGATGGAAACCATTACTGGAGCAGCAGCAGCCACTGCTGCTCTTCAGTATTGAGAACCTTCTCCCCTGTGCGATAAATATGATAGATTTAAAGTAAATTCAATACTTTCCTTGTTCAAAATAAACAATATGCCTGTCAGACCTCTCTAATAAGTGACAGTGGAAACAAATGTAATAGGCTCAAGGACTTAAAGGTGCCTGATAAGTAGATTTGTTGTAGAAAAGCTAATGAAGTCAATACAAAAAAATTCCAATACTTCAAGTGTCCCAAAAATAAGCCCTATTTATAGAGAAAGCAAGGGTTACCTTCTGTGCCTCTTTTCTTTCATCTGTACTATATCTGGATTGAAGCCACTTTATTGTTGAAAGATACTTTAGACCTTTGCCTCAATCTGGGAAACCAAAGAGAGGAATTTAGGTCTAGAAATGGTAACCCTGCGCTTTATAAGAGGGTGACATGTATTCAGAACAAGCAAATTTAGTACATTTCTGCCTAATTGCACTTCACATCATTATTTCATCTGGATTCAGTTTCAGATTATTATCCCTCATCTAACCCTTTACTGAATGCTGTATATATTCAGGGAAGCATTACTGTTTCCTGAAGATATCACAGAGAAAAAGACATACGGTAGATGCAGCAGTATACTGATAGCCCTTGGCTTCAGATCTGCCGATCATCTGGTTCTATGTAGATATTGAAAGACACTGCAAGCAGAATGGAGTCCTCAGGGACACCATATAATAGCTCCTGTTTCAAAGAAAAATAGTTTTTGATACTATCTGATATGTACCTGAGAGAGAGGAAGGGAAACGTTTAAAAACTGTGACTCCAGTTATCAAACCTATCTAGTGGGATATTGTAGCTGAAAGATCAATCAGACCTAAGAGTCACATTCCCTCTGTCAGTTCCCATCCCATCCATTAGACTGTCATGGGCATTCTCCCCATATGCCCATCCTTAAGTCAGTTTAAAATGGGTAAAAGAACTTTCTTCAGAACTCCCTGCAGTTGAGAAGCCACTATTCTCAATCATCTTATCAAATCATGGTTAGTTAGGTACTGGTCATAATTGCTTGTTTCTGAGGGAGTCCAAAACAGGTTTCGTAAGAAAAGATCTAATCATTGCCTCCTTTAAATATAGGTTGTCCTTGACTTATAACAATTTATTTAGTGATCGTTCAAAAGTACAACAGCACTGAAAAAAGTAACGTCATCATTTTTCACTTACTACCGTTGCAGCATTCTAATGGTCATGTGATCAAAATTTAGACACCTGTCAACTGACTCATATTTATTACAGTTGCAGTGGCGTGGGGTCATGTGATCACTTTTTACGATCTTCTGACGAGTAAAGTCAATGGGGAAGCCAGATTCACTTAACAGCCGTGTTACTAATTTAATAACTGCAGTGATTCACTTAACAATTGTGGCAAGAAAGGTCGTAAAATGGGGTAAATCTCATTTAGCAACAGAAATTTTGTGCTCAGTTGTGATCGTAAGTTGAGGACTAGCTTTAAATGTTCTCTTTTAGACATTTTATGATCCTGCGTAAAAAGTTCAAACGGGTATGGTTATTTTTTACCTCCACACATCTATCTTGATGTTCACTCGGGATCTTAGTCTACCTAAGTCAGTATGATGTAATGATCAAATGATAAGATTGGGAAAACTAATTCTGATAGACGGGTGTTTGGTGAATAGCCCTGTCTACCACAGCAGTCATTTCGTGAGCATATCTACCATATTCTCTAAAACTACAAATGTGCCCTCAACCCAAGATATTTGCCTATCTCTAACATAAGAGATCATAACTTCCCTTTGTGCATTATTTAATGTTTCTTTTCTTTCTGTCAGAATATTCGTGTACGTTGTGTGACTGGAGTTGGGTTCTACATGCCATCAGGGAAGATCCAAGGCAATTTGGCCTCTCGTTTCTTAATGGTAGATGGTGAAAAAGTCCTCACTGGATCTTATAGGTATATATGACTTGCCTTCAGGAAACCAGAGCTTAAGACTAGATTTATGTTTAAATATTCGAAACTTGGCATTTTCCATTTTTCCCTAAAAAAATAGCATTTAAAATCAGACAATTATCCATTTATTATAACTCAAAACAATATTTTGTCAGTACTTTCTCACCTTACTTCCCCTGTCTGGATTTTCCAGATACCTTGATCTGCAACTCCTGTTTTTATCATTGGTATGTTGGCTGATGCTGATAGGAGTTCAAATCCAATAACATCGGTAGGATTCCGGATTGTGTACTCTATGTCAGCATCTTTCCTAGTCCTTCTATCTAAGATCTCTCAAATAGTTTTAGAATGGACTTATAATCTTTTTGCTTGCTATTGAAGGCTATACTATAAGTTATGATAGTTATATATTGTTTCCATTTTCCAAAGTAGAATTCTTCCAGGAACAGTTTGTAAGGTGCAGATACACATGGGTGTTGCTGCTCTTAACTTCCCATAGGCAATTAGTGCTTGGAAGGATGTTATGTTTGCAATATACATTTTACTATTTTACTGTAATATTTCAGCTGACATTGCTCCTAAAAAACTGAACCCAGTTCGAATAAAAAAACACTGTGTAACAATGCAGGACCAATGAAAAAACAACAAAATGTTAATATACTGTATTTTCCTAAATTTGTAGATTTCATCATAAACAATAACAATTAAGCTTTCTTGTGAGGAGAAAAGTAAACAGATATGTTGGGTTTCTCTATATATGTTAAAGTGAGCACAAGCTTTTTTAGAGAAAATTCTATTATGTACATCTGATAAATATATACCAGCCATAACACATAAAAATCAACTAAAATAATAAAACATATATACCATTCACATAAATGAAAACACTTTCATCAATACAAAAGCTAAATATGTAGCATCTAAGTAGATCCAGAAAAGCAGCAATCAATGTTAAACAGTTTAGAAAACATAATTGAAAATTTGCAGTCAAATTTTTACTACAATTTTATTTGAACTTCATATAACCCCAAACCAAACTTTAGAGCAGAAAATAAATTTCTGAATTCAATATTCCTACAGTGAGGGAAAAAAGTATTTGATCCCCTGCTGATTTTGTACGTTTACCCACTGATAAAGAAATGATCGGTCTATAATTTTAATGGTAGGCTTATTTTAATAGTGAGAGACAGAATAACAACAAAAAAATCCAGAAAAACGCATTTCAAAAAAGTTATAAATTGATTTGCATTTTAATGAGTGAAATAAGTATTTGATCCCCTATCAATCACCAAGATTTCTAGCTTCCAGGTGTCTTTTATACAGGTAACAAGCTGAGATTAGGAGCACTCTCTTAAAGGGAGTGCTCCTAATCTCAGCTTGTTACCTGTATAAAAGACACCTGTCCACAGAAGCAATCAATCAATCAGATTCCAAACTCTCCACCATGGCCAAGACCAAAGAGCTGTCCAAGGATGTCACGAACAAGATCTACACAAGGCTGGAATGGGCTACAAGACTATCGCCAAGATGCTTGGTGAGAAGTTGACAACAGTTGGTGCGATTACAGGTAATCCTCCAGATACAGGTAATCCTTATTTAGCAAGATTTCACAAAAACAAGGTTATTCAGAAAGGGTACTTACATTAGAAATTCAAAATTGCGGTTTTGACGTCGCAGTGTAATGGACGTAGGAAGACGTAAAAAGATGTTCGATTTCACCCCACAGGGGACCCTGGAAAGGGTCGAAAGTCACCCCATAGAGACAATAAGCAAGGGGGGGATCCTTGTTGATCGCGGTAGGGCGGTGGCCCTTCCATTTGATCTGAGGAAGTCCTCCAAACTGGCAAGGGAAAGACTGCCTACATTCGTGTAGCCAATCAGAAGCTGCTGACAACGGAAGAAATAAGCACTAATAATCAACCTTACAGCAACGTGGATGAAACTGGGTGAGACCCTATCCTCTCTTTATGACTCTAAGACTTCTTCCTGAAAAAACTGCCCAAAGCACCCACCCCGATGAGAGAGGAAAGGGGAGCCTTCCAGTTTTGCGCAGCTAGTGCACCAATTGAGGGATCAAGATGATCCGATCCCTATGGCTGATTTCTCTCTGGGGACCCTAAATGGGCCCAAAGCCACCCCAGAGAGGTGGCAAGGAAGGAGGGAAGCCTTCTATCTTTCTAGTTATAATAATACTTCTATTTCTAACAATTATCTATTCTCAGCCATGTTGAAACATCTGATTAATAGTATAATATCCCACTTCCGGTTCCAGTTTGCAGCATCACTAGTCGTACGGGGAGACTCGTCTCCTCGTCGGCTAGCTTTCCCTTCGTCGGCGGACCCTTATACGGGTCCAAAGTTGCCCTGGAGGGTGCGACTTCCGTCGAGGAGGCCCCTGTCCGGCTGCAGAGGAGCGTCGGCGAAGAAGAAGATCGGCCGGTAAAATGGCCGATCGCTCTGCCGCTTCAGACCGTAAGTCAGACAACATCTAAGCTGTGAGTGCCCCCGTGGTGAACCCGGGTGAGAATCTGTTTGCAACTCTCTCTTTTCTACTTTTCTTTTTGCTACCTGTAAGAGCTTTTGGAATTATTTCCCTGGCTTGAAAAGGCAGCTTCTATCTTTTTTGGGAAGAAAGGCGTTTTATAAATACAGAAAAAGACTTTATTTTATTTTATTTCTATGTATATCTTTCTCTTTGGATACAAAAGGAAAGAAGATGGAAAAGGTTTTCTTTCCTCTCTTTCTTCAAGAACTGCATTAGTTTTTTTTTCTTATATGTTATACTTCAAAAGATAGAAACAAGGAATTGATTTCTGGAAAAGATTTTCTTCAACTCACTGAGGGCATCTAGTGGTGAAAATGTAATACTATGGCTTGGGCTATTTTTTTTAAAAAAAAATGGGACTCTGAACTTTAAAATACCTTTAAGGAAAAGATAAGCTGTGCAGCTGTGAAAGCTGTGGGGGTGGATATTCTCTGCATTAGATACAGCCTCCACAAAAAGGGAAGAGAATTTTTGTTAAGCATTATATTAAAATAGAGAAAACTTTGTCACAAGAGAACTGTGCACTCATACTGGAAAAGATTTATGAGGCCACGACAGAAATACGTGCTACAATTAAAAACTGTACTTTAGAATTGAGATCTAGAGATTTTACCACATCTGTTCAAATGGATCTTCAGGTTACATCTGACTATGATATAAACCAAAATATATCAAAAGAGGAACCTACAGAGACAGAAGAGGAACTTATTTTACCTGACAACCCTTTCTTCAGCAACTTAAAGAGTCAGAAGAAGCAAAGATCAAAACCCCAAACTACAAAGCAACGACGTTGCAAGGAGAAGAGGAAAGGACGTCTATTGCAGAGGAAGGGATTTCTACTCTCCCAAAGATTACTACAAGCCACAAAAATGGATTGAAAGGGAAGCGTTTCCAACCAAGTTTCCTTTAGGCATAATAAATTGTAGTGCTGTAGTTCACCACTAGATGTCATTGACACCATCTTCCAGCTTTTTACATCCAAACTTTATTACAAGTTTTTTAAGTCTCTTTTAAAAAAAAATTAAAAGCACTTTTAGTCCCCAAATTTCAAAGTCTGTTGCTTCCAAATTAATCTTGTAATTTTCTCTCTTTCCCCCCCAAGCAATTAATTCGCCGCTTTTCTTTTCCTGAGGGAATGGGGTGGAAATTCCCCTTCCCTCTCTCATCAGGGATGATTCTTCGCTTTGGGTGTTTTTTTCCCCAGAAAAAAGTCTTAAAGTCATAAAGAGAGGATAGGGTCTCACCCAGTTCCATCCACGTTGCTCAAAAGTTGCTGGTTAATGCTTATTTTCTTTGGTTGTCAGCAGCTTCTGACTGGCCACACGAATGTAGCCAGTCTTTCCCCCGCCAGTTTGGAGGGCTTCCTCGGATCAAACGGAAGGGCCACCGCTCTCCTGCGATCAACAAGGATCCCCTCCTTCTCCGTCGCCTCTTCGGGGCGATTTTTGACACTTTTTAGGGTCCCCAGCGGGGCGAAATTGAACACAGAAGTCGGAGCCCTGTCTTCCTGCACCTGTCACACCATGACGTCAAACCAGAAGTCCTAAAATATTCTTTTTTATTACTCTATAGAACTGTACTGTATTATTTGTAATCACTTTGGGAACTGCTCTGCTTTTTATTGTGTTTGTAGGTTCAGTACTTTGCAAGATAGTTTGTTTGCATTTGGCTGAAACTTATAGCATGTGGCTGCTGCTGCTCCTCTCCCTAGCATAGACCTACCAGAGATTCTGCTGACACTTACTGGAAGGAAATCCCCCCCCCCCACCCCATTTTGGATTTTGCCTGGAGAGGCTTGTGTTGATCAGTGGCAGTGGTTTTTTAAAAAAAGGTTTTGAATTTAAATTGCCTCCAGAGGTTGTGGGTGTTCCCTCACTGTAGGCTTTTAAGAAGAGACTGGATAGGCATTTATCAGAAATACAGTACAGTACTGTACTCTCTTGTGAGAGCAATGGGTTAGACTAGATGATCTCAAGGTCCCTTCCATCTCAGTTACTGTTGCAAGCTGACAGTTCTGTAAACTCCACCCCCATCTTCCTCTGCATGCCTGCCTGGAGACGCTTAAAGCTAAAGCTACATACTTTAGTGGCAATTGCAATTTGGAGAGTTCTACACACACACACACACCCTTCTGAAGAAACTTGAGCTGCTTAGCAACAAATGGTGTTGGTTTTTTTTTTGTTTTTTTAAAGGCCTGCTCTGCCTGTTTGGGAGGTAATTTACAATACTGTAGTTCCTGAAACCTGAAACAGCTGATTTGCAGCCGGAAACAGCCTGCAACAGCAGTGGGAAAAGTCTCTCAGTTCAGGCAGCCATCGGAGAAAATAATAAGTCAAATCTTTGTTCATTTAACAACCCATTTGATTCAATTAATGAGTTTGATTTTAAAATGTTGTAATATTGAGTCTGATTCATTTGATGATTACGAGCCTAATCTCCCTAAATCTGAGGCTCCATGCAAGATCTCACTTCGTGGAGTTTCAGTGATCATGAGAACAGTGAGGAATCAGCCCAGAACTACACGGGAGGATCTTGTCAATGATCTCAAAGCAGCTGGGACCATAGTCACCAAGAAAACAATTGGTAACACACTACGCGGTAAAGGACTGAAATCTTGCAGCGCCCGCAAGGTCCCCCTGCTCAAGAAAGCACATGTACAGGCCCGTCTGAAGTTTGCCATTTAATATCTGAATGATTCAGAGGAGAACTGGGTGAAAGTGTTGTGGTTAGATGAGACCAAAATCGAGCTCTTTGGCATCAACTCGACTTGCTGTTTTTTGAGGAGGAGGAATGGTGCCTATGACCCCCCAAGAACACCATCACTACTGTCAAACACAGAGGTGGAAACATTATGCTTTGGGGATGTTTTTCTGCTAAGGGGATAGGATTTCACCGCATCAAAGGGATGATGGATGGGGCCATGGACTGTCAAATCTTGGGTGAGAACCTCCTTTCCCCAGCCAGGGAATTGAAAATGGGCCATGGATGGGTATTCCGGCTGTGGTTGCCGGCGCCTCGGCATAGTCAGCTGATTCCATCGCTGTCTATAGGGGGC